ATGTTGCTTCTGCCAACAGGATGCGCTTTCGCCCGCCGTAAAAGAATAGATTTCGTCTGCCTCGCGAAGTGAAAAAAGAGGGGCGAGGAAAGGTGGAAGGATTGTCTGATCGGACAGTTCGTGGGGGCTCTCCCTAAATTGGGGCTTCTCCAGCAGTGGGCAAATGGTATATGGGGCAGGGATGGTCCGGTGACGGTGTCAAGGTTTGGGCCGCGCTTACTAGTGTTTTAGTTTCTCTCTGTAGGGACGAGTCAGTGGGTTTTTAAATCGGGGACGTGGCACTATCATGGCAAGCAGATCTTCTTCAGGAAGTGGGCACCAGGGATTCAGCCGGTTGCCCCAGTAATTGAGGAATTGCCGATTTGGGTCAGAATTTGGGGGATACCTCTGGAGTATCATACGACTGAAGGGCTTGAATGGGTGACAAGCACAATTGGTCCGCCGGTCTGGATGGATCAAACCACAAGGAAGGGCCATTAGTTGGAGTTTGTGAAGGTTTGTGTAAATCTTGCGGCTGATTGTGGTTTTCCTACAAAAATTAGGTTGTACCCTGATGGTGATCCATGTTTTGACATTGGGATTGAGTATTTGAACAAGCCTCCGGTTTGCTCTAATTGTGAGGTCTATGGGCATGACTGCAATAGAAGTGATACTGTGGATAAGAAATGGGTGCCAATAATTAAATCTGTTGGTGCTGAGATAGGTCAGTCTGAAGTTGTTCCACCTGTGTTGGAAGCTGTAAGTAAGGGTAAAGAGAAGGTTACTGCTGAACTGGAGTTTGTGAATGAACCCTTGGTGGTTTCAGTAGAGGAGGGGCAACCTTCTGGTGATTTGGTTACTACTGAAGGGGATTCTGGGGTCCAGGCTGTGAGATTTGTTGATGTGGTGAAGGGGTCAACTACGGGGGAAAGTTCTCCTATTGTTTTGGAGAATTCTTCACCAAGCTCTGAGAGACAATATCCTTTGGAGGAACCTCCTGATACTCAGAATCCATGGATTACAGTGAGTCAAAGAAAGAAGACACCTACTGCTCCCATTTGAAAGAGAGGGGGTAAGGGAGGTAAGCGGAAATGAAGTTCATATCATGGAATACCCGGGGATTTAAAGACCCGGATAAGAATAAAGCTTTGCAGCTACTAGTTAATAAGTATAATATAGATATTATTTCTTTGTTAGAACCAAGAGTCAAACTTGATAAAGCAGAGGAACTAGTGAATAAGCGGTTTCTAGGTTGGGAGAAGAAAATTGTGGGAAATGATGCTGGATTAAGTAAAATTGGGCTGATTTGGAGGTCAGATGTACAGATGAGGGTCCTTCATAGTACTGATCAGTTCATTCATGATATGGTCTGTTCTAGTTTGCCTTTCTTTGTCACTGTGATTTATGCCTCTAATGAGGAAGATGACAGAAGAGTTCTTTATAGTAATCTGGGGGCTATCAGGTTCAATCTGAACCTTGGGTTATATTATGGGATTTCAATGCAATAGGGGATGTGACTGAGGCCTCTAATTCCCCTGGAGTTAGTTCTAGTATGGTGGAGTTCAGAAAATGGCAGTTTGACATGGAGATTGTAGAGCACAAGTCTTCTGGACCATGGTTTACATGGATCAATAAGCAGTATGGTAATCCAATCGCGAGGAGGTTGGATAGAGCTTTCATAAACTGTAAATGGTTAGATGTATTTGGGACAAGCACAGTTGATATTCTGAGTCCTGCAGTATCAGACCACTGCCCTGTGTTTGTTAACACTGATAGTTCAATTAAATCTCTCCCTAAATCTTTTAAGTTTTTTAAATTTTGGATGCAAAATGAAAGGTACTGGGATCTGGTGAAGGAGGCTTGGAGTTCAGAGGTTGTTGGTTCTCCCATGGAGAGAGTAAGTAGAAAGCTAAAAATACTGAAAGGGTTGCTCAAGAAACTGAACAGGAGTGATTACTCAGATCTTCATGAGAGGGTCAAGCTCAAGGAGTAGGAGTTGATTATAGCTCAGGCTAGTGCCTTCCAAACTCCCTCAACTGAATCATTTCAGGAAGAGGCTCGGTTATCTGCTGATATCAAATCATTAAGGGAAGCTGAAGAATCATTTTTGCAGCACAAATCAAGGGAAATCCGGTTAAAGGTGGGAGATTCAAACTCGAGGTACTTTCACAAGTCAGTTAAAATCATAAACAAAAGAAATATGATAAGATCTCTGATAAATGATGAGGGTGTTCGAGTAACAAACACAGATAGTATGTGCAAGATAGCTGAATTATTCTACAGAGAGTTGCTGGGGCTGAAAGACTCACAGGTTGAGGAGAGTAGTGTTGAGGAAATGAGAGAACTCCTGCTGTTCAAAGTTGATGAATTGCAGAAAGCTGCATTAGTTCGGCCAGTATTGGAGGATGAAGTCAAGGATACCTTGTTTGGTTTCAAAGGGGATAAAAGTCTGGGGCCAGATGGATTCCCAGCTTGTTTCTTCCAAACAGCATGGCACATAGTTGGTCCTGATATAACTTCTGTTGTGCAACATTGTTTCCTTAGTTGTTCTCTTCCTTCAGGTACAAACTCTACTCTTTTAGCATTAATACCTAAGGTTCAGAACCCTGAGGAGATGAAGTTATTTAGGCCCATTTCCTGTTGCAACACACTTTACAAATGTGTAGCAAAAATTCTTGCTGCTAGGCTTAGCTCAGTTTTTCCTTCCCTTATAAGCCATAATCAAACTGCATTTATTAAAGGGAGAGTTATTCGTGAGAATATTTTACTAGCTCATGAGTTAGTCCAGAAATACAATAGAAGTGATATATCTCAAAGAAGTATTATCAAGGTTGATATCATGAAGGCCTTTGACTCGGTGGATTGGGACTTTCTAATCACTGTGTTAAAAGCAATGAATTTCCCTGATCTATTTGTGAGATGGATTGTTATGTGTGTTACTACACCTAAATTGAGTGTGGGTTTCAATGGAGGGATAGTGGGGTATTTCTCAGCAAAAAAAAAAAAAAAGGTTTAAGACAAGGGGATCCACTGTCCCCTTATCTATTTGTTATTTCTATGGAAATCCTTTCGTGCTTAATGGCCAAGGCAGGTAGAGAGGGGAAAATGCATTTCCATCCTATGTGCAAGAGGTTGGGATTGACCCATTTAATGTTCGCAAATGATCTGCTTCTTTTCTCGGATGGTTCAAATCATGGTATTCAGTCTATTCAGAGAGTTTTGGGGGAGTTTAGGAGGATTTTTGGACTTAAGTCAAATCCTGAAAAATGTGAATTGTTTTGTGGTGGAATTCCTATTGAATGGCAGAAACAGATGGCTCAGAGGGCAGGGTATAAGCTGGGCTCTTCCAATCAGATATCTGGGGTTACCTCTCATCCCGGGTAAACTTTCAATTAAGACTTGTAAACCACTATTAGATAAAGTTACTGGAAGGATACATAGTTGGAAAACAAATTTTCTTATCTATGCTGGGAGATTGCAGTTGGTGATTTCTGTGCTTGCAAGTTTAACACAGTTCTGGATGGCAATGTTCATTCTGCCAAAAAGGATTATCAAGGAAATTGAAAGGCTCTGTAGTAATTTTCTTTGGGGAGTTTGTGAGGGGGGAAAGAAAAGGGCTACTACTGCCTGGAAGTACTTAGCACTCCCTAAGAAGGAAGGAGGATTAGGAGTCAGAGATCTAGTGAGTTGGAACTTCTCTTGATTAGACATATTTGGTTGATTCTGTTGCAGGAGGGATCTCTGTGGGTAGCATGGCTAAGGGTATACAGTCTTATGAACCATGACTTTTGGACATTCCAATCCAAAACTGGTTCTTGGATTTGGTTAAAATTGTTGAAAAGCAGGGATAAGATTGCCCAGCAGATGTCTCTGGTGAATGGTGAGGTATGGTGGAATGGTAAGGTAATGAAGAAGTATAGTATCAGACTAGTTTGGGAGTCATTCAGGCCCCAAGAAGCCCCTGTTCCTTGGTGCTCTTTGGTCTGGAAAGGTCCATCTCCCCCTAGGGATAAATTCCTTGCTTGGTTGGTAATTAAGAATTATATTACAACCAGTGACAAAGTTGCAAACTGGGGTGGCAGAGGCCCCTTTAATTGTGTGTTCTGTTCTTGCCCTCTTGAGACTAAAGCTCATCTATTCAGTGATTGTTGTTTGTTTAAGGAGTTGTTTGCAGGTTTGCTAGCCAAAGCTTACCCTAGAACTCCAACTGATGATTGGGATACTGAACAGCAGTGGGCTTCTATTCAGTTCAAAGGGAAGCAGGTGAGGAAACAGGTTGCTAGGGCGGTTTGAGGGCTATGGTCAGTTCTACCTGGCGTCAAAGGTGCCTGCAGAAGCATGGAGGTGGTAAGAAACAGCATCAGGAGATTATTGAATGTATTAAGCATGATATTGTTGTCTTGTTTCTAGAAGAAAATCTGAATAGTTTCTGGTCTTGATTAGCTTTGTCTCTTGGTTCACTGTATAGGTTTCCTTTGTTGTTCCACTGTTTTTGTTAATACTCAGTTTGGCAGGGTTGTTGCCTACAGTTTTGGACTCCTTTTTTGATGATATATAGAGTACCCCAATTCATCAAAAAAAAATAATAATAGCATATTAAGATGGTTAAATTAGAATATCATCAATCTTTCGCTAGACACATGGGGCATAAATGACCACATTTTCTGCATTTGATACCCTTTCTTTTACTTTTACCCGATGAATCTCGTGGTGACATGAATGTTCCATTTGTCTGGTCAATTTTAGAATATTTGAATTTTGAAGAACTGTAGGGTTTGTATCTTCAGTAGTCTCCATGCTCACACTCGACAACTTAGTTTCCGATTGAGAAAGAATATCCAATTTCGTTGAGACATGAGAAAAAGTTGACTCATTGTCACAAGCGATGTCACATAAATGCTTACACTTCAGTGAAAATAAACAATGTCCTATCAATCAACCTACTTTCTCTATCATATCCCCCTAGTGCCAGGACCACGAGAAAGTGTCTATATACATTTTTTGTCCATCGAAGCTTGAACCACGTAGAGTGAAGTATTGTAAACTCTTTATTTCTTTATGTTGCAAGCATATGTCAGGGATTTTTGCAGAAATAGCACCATTTAAAAAAATTACAAAAATAGCACCCAGCCCACACAAATTCCAAAAGTAGCACCTTTTTTTCAAAATCGCACCTTGGCCGTGCGGTTTACACATAAACCGCAACCTGAGGGTGTGGTTTGAGTTTCAGAGACTAAGTCGTATCTTGGCCAAGCAGTTTTCATTCTTAGGCTGACCTAGCAAAAACGCCTGCTGAGGATGCGGTTTTGTTTCTCTAACACAAACCGCATCCTCAGAGTGTGGTTTTCATTTACCGACACACAAACCGCACCCCCCCCCCCCCGGCGGTTTGTGTGTCGTCCCCATTTTTCAGACATCCATCATGTTGGACATGCAGGTTGACAGACGTGGGGCTGCATGGCAGATGAAAACCGCACCCTCCCCCTGCGGTTTTCAGTGATGATTTAGCCTATAATAGGCAACCCTGGGAAACCTCTTCTCTTCACACCTCTCCTTCTTCTTCTTCTTCTTCTTCTTCTTCTTCTTCAATTTTCTATTGTAGCACCCTAGTTTTTATTGTTTTTGCGATTAACGTTAACTCGTAAGTTTATTTTGTATTACTTTTTATTGTGATTTATGATTTTTACGATTTTAACTGAATTACAGTTTTATTGCAGATGGCATTCCAAAAGTCCACGCTTGGGTTACGCTGGAATGGTTACACGGAAGAGACCGGAAAGGGGGTCACCTACGTCGGTGGCAATTTTCAGAAAATAAAGGTCGCTACCAGACCGATGGTTGAAGACCTCCATCAAATGTGTACTAACGTTACTTGCATGGATGGCACGAGAAGAGTTGATGGTATGGTATACCGATATCCAAACAGAGAAAGCGGGTCGTTGTGGCATGAGGAATATCTCATAACCACTCAGGATGAAGTAGATTCCATGCTCGAATTCTTGAGGTCCAATAAAATCTTTCCAAAGCCTAGATGTTCGTTTACACCGAGGCGGTCGAAGGCATTGGGGTCATTCTGGAGACGGGCAAACATCTGGTATCCATGGTGGAGGTGAATTATATGGAGATCATCCTTACCAAAGTTACCATGATCCTCATTCCTACTTTCAGTACCAAGAGCAAGGTGAAGGTCATCATCAATCTTTCCCATCATATGAAGAAGAAGTCCAACGGGGCCATGCCAACCAACCCGAGTACAGCTTCCATTCAGGTGGCGGTAGTTTTCACAACTACCATTATGGAGCTGATGAAGGTGCATTTCATGATCTGGATCATATGGAAGATACCCTGCCAGCACCAGTTAGTGACCCCTGTGATGAAGAAGAAGGGAGCAATGTTAGTGCAGACAGCTCTGACCCTCTTGAAGGTGCTGATGATTCAGGAGGCCCAAAGTCAGACTCAGATGATGATGAGGTGTCTCGTGACCATGTACCTATACCGTACTACACTCACATTCTGGACGACAATTGGTGTGTCGACAGCAACATGGGGCCGCCAGAGGTCCCAATATGGGGTCCACTCATTGGTGAGTACGTACTACTTGATATTCATCATAATAAATTCCCTCTTCTTGGAACCACTCGTCCATTTTTTCGCAAAAGTCGGACAGAGATTCGGCGAGTTTTGAAGGAAAAGCCAAAGAAATATTTTCTGATGGCAGATCGGACTTAGCCGCAACCAACAGACTACTATTTCCTAGGCTTTTGGGAAGGGAGGGGGATGGATAGAGAGATAATTTATAGAGAGAAGAATGGGTTGTGGTGTGAAAAAATGAGGAGGCGGAGGGGGGTATTTATAATTTTCAGACCGCACCCTCCAAGGGCGGTTTTTTAATTTTTCCCTTTCCAAAACCGCACCTGGAGGGAGAGGTTCACGGCGTCCGAGGCGCAAACCGTTCGCCAGGCGTGCGGTCTTCGATCGCTGACGCGGATCGCTGCGCTGGCGTGCAATTTGCCGTTGGATCGTCATCTAATCCAACGGTGCTGGGGACCGCCACCTTGGGAACATGGACCACACTGTGACAATGCGGTTTTGGGGCTGCCCTAGCGGGGACCGCACCCTTGTTGTGCGGTTTGCACATAAAACGCACCTTGAAGGTGTGGTTTTGAAAGAAGGGTGCTATATTTGGAATTTGTGTGGGCTGGGTGCTATTTTGTATTTTTTTTTTTAAAGGTGCTAATATTGGAAAAATCCACATATGTCAGCATGGAAACCCCTTTGGTTTAAACAATGAACAATCACATTTTAGATGTTGATTGACCTTACTAAATGTTAACCTCATTAGCTGATTGAGTGCATGCAGTTCTTAAGGATGAATATCTTTGTCTCGTATGCTTACTAAACTTACTCAACTAACACATAAGAAGCTTCTTTCACAAGCTCGATCTTGAAGATAGCAAATGTACGATGGATGTAGATACTTTTAGTTGGCATTTTGGCTATTCAAAGGGCATCCTTCAAAACCAACCTCGTGTATCTAGAATAATAGTTATCTTCCACCTCCTTGTATCACCTCCGTCCCTCCAGTGCTTCATCAATCCTCTTAACAAAATGTAGCACACTGTATTGGCTACTTGCGTACCCATTTATCCAATGGTTGCATGAACTGCATCGAGATTGGTTGCCTCTCACGTGAGAACCTCATTTTCAAAAGATTTGTTCTCTCTTTTCTTTCTTTTCCAATACGCACAAATTTGTAAAAGATTCGAGTTCACGAAACAAATAATAGAGAATCCCACACACAGGGGGTGGACCTATGTTATAGGGTGGTGTGTCAATGGACACACCTCCAAAAAATATTCGATAAAAAAATAAGGTTCGTCGGTGCCAAAATTCAAACACAAGACCTCCTGACATAGCTTTATAGTGGACTCATAAGCATTCCATTTGACTACAAACATAGTATTATTATAACATTGCTAAACAACTTATTGTATACGGAAATTTTATTAATTTGTAAACAATTTCTTTATACGGAAAGTTTATTAAATCTCCACCCAATCCAATTTTGATTGGAATAGAACTAATTTACTTATAAAAGAAACCCAATTACCTATCTCAATTATAGAAGAAAACAAAAACTCTCCCACCCTAATATTTTGTCGAGGACCATCCTTCTTCCTCTCTCTCCTCTCACACCACTGGCAAAGTCACATAGTCGGCCCTTGCCTCCCTAGACACTCTAGGCTCCGCATCCTTCTCCATAGCTTGGTACAGTGCTACCCAATTGACTCACACGAAACTACACCACAATAAAACCCCAACTAGAGCCCATGTTCTTAAACTCTAGTCGGGTGCAGTATAGGGCAAGTATTTATATATCGACCCGGGCCTGTCCGTCTACCCCTACTTCAGTTGTTGAAATCATTATCTAGCAACAAAATTTTGGTTTAAAGGTTTGCTAATTTGAAATGAAAGAAAGCAAAGGTAAATGGTTTTGATAACTCTTTGGTGGAAGGATCACTCGGGTGTCGCTTTCCCCTAACTGCTACCAATGTATGTGGATTGGAACGATTGCTTTGGGCCTGATAAATCGCGAACCGCAGAGGGATGCATATGTGGTTGGAGACCACAATCTCAATTGCTAAACTGAAGGAAGCATGAAAGGCCGTGTCACTCGACCCTCTCGGTTTAGACAATCGGTAATTGACTTACTCCCTCACTCAACTCTAAGGTCGGACGGCTTGATCGCGATTAACCAACTTGCTTAACTAAATATCGAGGTTTACCCTTACTTAACCTAGTTTAGGGTGGCTTATAAAGCGGAAGGAAAACCAACTCGATTGAGTCTCCCTTGGAAGGGGGATTTTCCTCTCTAAGCTAGGCTAAGGTGGACAATTAGATTGCTAGCACCTACATGCACAAACCTAAGGGTGCTAAGCATGAAACATGCACAACCCCTAAGTTGCTAAGCACAAGCATGCACAATCATGATAAATAATGCTTCAATCATTGAATTGAAAAATACCCAATGACAATCATCCAATACACATAAAAGAAAACTACATGGTAGAGTTAGGGTTTCACTACACCCAAGTGAAAGGAGGTCTACTCCATGCTAGAAGTGGGAAAAACAAAAGGGAAATAGATGGAAGCCATCTTGGAGGATGCTCCCAGTCTTCTTGGCCCTTGAGTTGAGCTTTCCTTGGAGGAAATCTTCCCAAAATCTGCCTTGAAGCTAAACCCTAGCCTTCTTCTCCTTTTGGTTCGTGTTTCTCTCTAGAATGTAGAAGAAGGCTTTTCACACCAAATGGGCTCTCCCCTCTCTCCTCCTTTCAGCTCATATTTTAAACCACAGATGAGCTGAGTTCACGGCCCGAGTTCACGACCATGAACCATGAAACGCGTCCGTGAACTGCAGGCGGGCGCCAAAACGTGCCGCATCGTTCACTCGAGTTCACGAGTAACTGTCTTTGTTCACAGTCTTAGTGACCGTGAACTCACCTTGCGTCAGTAACCTTCATTTTGGCTCTGGACGCCTCGCGATTCACGGTCAACTCCTCTTCTTCACGATCGTGCAAGACCGTGAACTCCCTTTGTTAGCCGTGAACTGCTCTTTTTCACCTCTTCTCCCGGTTTTCGATCCTTTTCGTCAATATTTCGACTCCGAGGCTGGTTTCACCTGTTAAATTCTGAAACACACTCAAACACGAAGAACCTAGCGTAAAACCAACCTTTAAGGAGTGAATTTGGCACAATCACCTAAGTAAAACGGGGGCAAAACATGTGCAATTAGGCCCGAATCACTCCCCCACACTTAGATGTTCGCTTGTCCCCAAGCAAACCATTTCAGGCACACGGTAATATTTCAACCTACGCAAATACTTTGGGGACAACTGAAAGGGCACGAAACAGGAATTCTTGATGTTTATTGACAATCCACCCATGGATCGTTGCAAGCAATACCAACATCCACCACAAGCGACATTCAAAGGCACGAAAACGGGCAAATGAAAAGTTCTCAACTTATTCATGGATAAATGCAAGTCTCAACAAAACCACTTGTCGACCACAACCAACCATGCATGGAATTCAAGTCCGAGGAACAAATGGAAAGGCAACAAAGGTCCTCAACGGGGTATGAAATGGTAAGTAAAACAAGAATGGATCACTCACTCTCAAGACCAGTGGGGTTGGTACCTTTTTGGTGCAAAAGATGTGCACAATCATAACCTCTCGTCCCTATCGTCTCAATACCACGGCGGTAACCTCTATAACACTAGAGTTCACGGGATGGTTGTCACCACTAGTTCGTCCGGAGGTCTTAGACACAGGTTCAGATGACTGGCGATTCGCTTGGACATGAGGAAAAGGATTTTTAGGTGGTGTCAATCATGATCTGAGGTTCTACATCTTCACCCTAAACTCGAAGGGTCTATGATTTCGACTAAAATCCTTCTCTTCAATCAAAGGCCACTAACATGCCAAAAACCTTATCTCTCCCTTCCGACTCTCACCCATCATGAACTACCTTGAGTCACTCTTCCTCGGTAAACACTTGCTAGCTCTTTAGGGTTTGGTAGTGAAGGAGTTCTAAACAATGTGGGGGTTCTGATGGCTTGGTTTCCAAGAAACCCCACCTAAAGCATGTACTTTGGTTTTTCGTGGCACTCTCTACTATATTTACCCCATTTTATTACCTCTTTTTCATTTCACTTTTCTTTTCTTTCTTTTCTTTTTCTTTTAGAGGGGGTACTAGAGAGTAAAACAATTGTCACCTAAACATTTAACGACCAATGCTCTCTTTTTTAGGAACTCACTTGCACACAAACCTCCTATGTAGAACCCCTATGGAGACTGAAAGGTGAGAGCTCCGGAACACACAGGCGACTCATGTTTAGACACGAAGAAAGAATTGGGGGTCGTTCTATTAACACCTTTACGCTCACACGCACGAAGCTCCTAAATTGAGAACAACCCACGAAGTCACTGGGCTCAAAGGGGTTGACTAAAGGATGATACATTTCGAGACAATCCACATTTGGGTGTGGACTCATCCTATGCCTCCATCATACTTGCTAGTGACAACTTGTGATGCTACACACCGTGGTAAGAGGGATGATATTCGGCTTTAATATAGCGGATTCTTGGACTCTATGTGATTATCCGTGGTATGTTTTAGCCAATTGGTGCTATTTTAGGGCTCGCTAACCCGAGAATGGTTGAAAAACCATTACTGCCTAGTGCCATGAGTTTGATGTATTACAAGTGAAGAAAACACGAAAAAGAAGTTGCACCGGCAAACAATTCTCGAATGCTGGGCTTAAAGCCCAGCTGGATGGGGATAATGACATGGGCCAGGAAATGCTACGGGCCACGAAATTCAATTGCTGGGCAGCGGAAGGAAACAAAACGAGAAGGCAGAAGGGACGCATGGGCCTGGCGGAAGGATCCGGACAGAGACCATTCATGGAATTGATTGGGCAAGGCAATTAGGGATTTTGGAGGCGTAATTAACCAAGGGGGGAAAGGAGAATCTTTTTGGGCCGGCGGAAATCTCTTTTGCCAGGACAAAATATTTTTTGGCGAGGGTTTCTTTTTGGGGAGAAAAGACGAGAGAGGCCAGGCGGAAATAAAAAAGCTGGCGGCGGGAATTCTTTTTGGCGAAAGGCAGCGGGACAGCGCAGCGGAAGCTTGGGACGAGCATATCACTAGTACCTCGAATCGGAAGAGAGAATCAGATTTTGTGCTTCTATTCGTATCAGTATTTTCTCTCCTTTTCGTTACTAGCATCATGATGATTATGAACATGATTGTTTGTTTTATTTTCGTCATGAACTAAACCCCGATTTCTGGGGGAAACACCATAGGATGTAGCTATTTCTTGATTTGATGGATTGATTCATAGTTCTTTTCTTCCAATCTCTATTGCATGAAATTTCTTAATGCTTTGTGTTGACTGGCCACCAATACAACGATTTGTAGTTAATTAGGTTATTAGCGACAGTGAAATCCTATTAACTGAACATATTTCATGTGACATAGTAACTTATCGAAGCGACAGTGGATTAAATAAGGTGCTATGCGGTCTTAAATAGGATATCGTTCTTCAGACTGAATAATTAAGTCATTGAGCTACAACAGTAGGATTTGATTTAATTCTTTAGTACGTAGTAATTCCCGACAGGGATAGCTAGCACCGCAGAGATATCCTGGCTGTAGAGATATGGATTAAACTGATTGGAATGTGTGAATTAATCTGGATAGGATAGGTAGTGAATCCCGGTGTTTCTCCCAGAGCTTTCTCCCATTGATTTAAACCCGACACTTTAATTTGCTTAATTAGTTTAATTATTTTGCTAGTAGTTAATAATCTCGTTAAACCATTTTCACCTATAGTTTGCTCTATTAAATCGGTAAATCTTAAGGTTGTACCAGTCCCTGAGAGACGATACCCGGACTTTCCGGTTTTACTACAAGATAGGAATTGAAGCTATACGCTTTTGACCTATCAAGTTTTTGGCGCCGTTGCCGGGGACTGCCATACCTTATTTTTTGTTGATTTTTGTGAGTGAACTATTTTGATCTGGGTGTTAGTGTGCAGGTGAATTTTCAGGTTAATCCTCCTCATGCATGCCAAGGAGGACGACTGGCAATTTACTGCCACTAGATCCCGAGATCGAGTGGACCTGCCGACAGAACAGGAAGCAAGTCAAGTTAGGGAAGCAGCCTACCACATCAACAACTCCTAGGCCTTCCCTAACTCAGAATCGTCAACCGAGAAGGCAGGTGACACCACCTGTCATCCCTACACCACCTACACCACCGCCGCGCGTCATCGAGCCTGTCATCATGGCAGATCAGGATCGGTCGATCAGGTCTCGTCTGAATCGGAGGACTGGAGCCCGAGCTTCATGTGTTGTCATTCCGACTGGGGATGCAAACATGGAGATTACCCCAGCCTTCATCAATATGATCACTAATGGGTACACGTTCTCAGGGGCTAGCACCGAGGATCCTCATGAACATCTCCACCGGTTTGCAAACATTTGTGACATAATGAAGAGCCCGACTGTGTCTGATGATGCCATCCGTC